TGTGTGTGTGTGTGTGTGTGTGTGTGTGTGTGTGTGTGTGTGTGTGTGTGTGTGTGTGTGTGTGTTAAGGCACGGGCCAGATGGAGTGTGTGAGGAGTTTGTGTGAAGGCACGAGCTGCATTCTTCCCCATCCTTCTGCTCTGTCGCTCCAATAAAAAGTAAGAGCAGCCGGGGGTACAACAGATGTGTCAGTCTGACACCAGAAGCCCCCAGGGGCCACTGAAGGAGGCGGGAGAAGGCCACGTGACCTCTGACCTCTGCCACAGTCCAACACACTTCATAAGTCAGCAGGGGGTGGCTGCTACACGGAGCGACGCCATGACAGCTGTCACTCTGAGAACCAACCAATCAGCTGGACCAATCAGAGCTAAGTGTTGGAACCATTTATTATTTTGAATTTTGTTAAATTATGTGTTGAAGAACTTTATATTTGGGGGTTCTATAAGGTAATAGCAACCCATATAACAGTTTTAGCATTTAGCAACCCATAGAACAGTATTAGCATTTAGCAACCCATATAATAGTTTTAGCATTTACCAACCCATAGAGCAGTTTTAGCATTTAGCAACCCATTTAACAGTTTTAGCATTTATCTTGACATCTTTAACATTTAGGAAGCCTATTAGCATATTATGAGGTTAGCAGCTGATCCCAGCAGACATGCTAACCTTGTGTCTCTGAGTCCAGGCAGTTTAAAGCCTGTCYTTGCTGACGGTGGACCAGAGGAGGACAGGTAGTCCTCTCTGTAGGTGTGTGTGTCTTTTAGCACTTGTCGCTTCTCATTTTGCTGCTCAGGTATTTCACCTCCAGCTAACGGGGCCTGAAACCAGTGAACACACAGACAATAATCTCATCACTCCTGCCTTCACGCTGTCCTCTCCTCACCCTGATGAGGCAGATGGGAGACGGGGTATCGTTTGAAACATGGACGTGTCTCTGAGACGCAGGGAGCTCACAGTTGGACAGAATCATGAGTCACTTGGAGGAAAAGGCCGAGACGTCTGAGTTCATGTAGATTGTTGAGGAGAGGAGACAACTCTGTCTGACAGGAAAAACAAATCATGTCCATCTGCCTTCAGYCTCTTCCAGCTCAAACAGCCAAACTCAGAGAGGATTACTCTGATGGGTTTAAACAGGTCCAGGTGGGCGGTTCTCTTGGTGTTTCTCTCACTGCAAACAAAGTTTAAAAAAAACTCCTTGTTTTTCTTTGTGAAGACGCAACACAGCAGAAAATCTCAGGTTTTAAAACTATCTGAAGTGGTGTGGGCGTGACTCAAAACARCAGGAGTCACTTTAAATCAACCAAACTGATAAAAAAAACAGCCGAAGTTCTGATGTTGAGACATCAGGTGTTTAAATCTGCAGACAGAACGATCTGACTGATGAAACAAGGGATTTTCCCCGGCCGGTCCCTGAAGTCCTCCTCAGACTTGTTTGGACCTGATGACTGAGCCATGTCTGGCTCATTAGAGAGGGAGATTAGGATGATAATTACACATTCAGAGGTGTCAAAAGTATTCACATTCATTACTTAAGTAGAAGTATAGATACTAGGGTTTAAAAATACTTTTTTGGAAGTAGAAGTATCAACTCAAGCTTTTTACTCAAGTATAAAAGTACTGTCCAATAGGACGTCAGGATGGTTTATATTTACACTTCTCATCCAATCACAATCATCTTCACTCCATCCAAAAGCTCCATGTATCTGCATAGATTTCTATTTATTTATTGTTTCCTGAACAATGAAAAGATGGAATAAAAACAAGTTCAAGTTAAATAGAAATTAAATACTTTTTGCATTTTTAAAAAGGAGTAGAAAGTAC